AGTGAACAGAACTTTGAATGTTTAGATTAGGTTGCACAAAGTACTTAGAACGAGAGTAGCGATTTAGGTTAGGTTAAAAATATGTAAACGAAAGTGCGAAACGTAAGTGAACAGAACTTTGAATGTTTAGGTTAGGTTGCACAAAGTACATAGAGCGAGAGTAGCGATTTAGGTTAGGTTACAAAATATGTAAACGAAAGTAGCGGAATGTAAGTGTTTGTACAGGCAGTTGCGAAAGTGCAAATTGTTCCCTTTTGGTTTTCCAAATTTGGAAACTCGCATCGAGAAACGGGCGCGAGAACGATTGTAAACGCTGGCATAAATTACTGGGCGTGTTTAGCGGCGCGCGAGCTAGAATCCCGAAGAACGGGGGCTGGGTTAAGCGAGCGTATAAATCGAGTTCTCAACGTTAATCGAAAGGAGGACGACGCAATTTACTGGCCGCTTCTAGGAAACGTTGAAGACGGCCGACCGGTGCCAGAGGGCTGCGCCGTAGGTGGAGACAATCGAGTTTGCGCGCCCGCATTTACATACGTCGCCGGAAACTTTTATAACACTCTGTGGTTATAGTGCCAGCGATATACCGTATGCACGGCCTCTGAACAATCATATACGCCATACTTGTGAAACATACGCAATGTCAGGGGATCGAAACTCACGGGAGAGCCTCGAAGAATTAATTATCTCGAAAAAGATGTTTATTTCTCAACTCTCACCTGTTTTAGAATTTTTTAGAATTTTTTACGAATTTCTACGACTGGCAAAAACTTGGTTTCGTGTCAACCAAGGTTTCGGTTCGAATGAACGAAATGTCGAACTGGTGGAATGATGATTAAATTAGTTCCCAAGCAGTCACTGTATCAAACGAAGGCTGGCTTTTCGAGGTGTATGAAGAACGTGAGAAGTTTCTTGCCGCGTCGATTTGCACTGCTTCAACTTTGGATTCGAGGACTCGAATGTATATTATTTAAGTATCTTTACGTACCAGACGCTGAGATCATTGAATTCTAAAATCTAAAAGACTGACGAGCAGTGTATTTTAATTGTATTCTTATCCGATATTGAAGCTATTTTACAATCTCATATTTCTATCGTTCCAAGAAAACACCAAGTCTCAAGTAATTATCATAATTACGGCCAAGAATTGGATTTAGTTTACATTTACAATTTTGATAAAACTCATCTTGTTCTATCCTATTCGGCGAATCCTGTCCTCTCTGATCTTATATCTGTGGCTTTATTGCTTTCTCTTTGGCTCCGTTATTTCTTCTTTAGCCTCTCAAGCCAAATTTCTTTATTTTTTTCTTCTTTTCCGCGTCTCCGAATTCTTTTTCTATCTCTCTACACTCTCTTGCCAAATATTCGGAATTTCCAAATCACATCTCCGGTTAAAGCTGTTGTGATAGCCGGATAATGAGATAGTTGAGAGTGCACATCTACTTATTTCTACTCTTATCAGTTTACAATGTAAATTTGTGT